AAAAAAAATAAAGGTTATGAATTATCTGAATTTCAATTTAGTATATTTACTCATTTAGTTGTGTCTGGAGTAGTCTTGTAAAACAACATTCTTAGTCGTTTACCTTCATATTTTACAAAGGCTGATCATCTTGTTGCTTTCAGGATGAGTCTGTTTTAATATGGATCTCGGGGAAAGAGGAGAAACACCTTAAACTGAGCCATGTCTCTAGAATTATATCTGGGCAACGCACTGTAAGTATCTTGCTTGGGAGATAAGATCATTTATATGTATGCTTTTATTATCTTTACATTGTTTATTGTTGGCTAATGTGTGGTCTAGAACACATGATTGGCGTTGTTTGCTTTCTTTTGCTGTTTGATTTTTCCTGTGGCTCTGGGAAAAAAAATTATACCCTGGCATTTATATTAACTTTTAGTTAGTTGAAGCGGTTGCAGCACATATTAGTTATCATTCAGAGTCTTTAGACCCTCAAAACTACGGCAAAAATCGCTATTATTGTCATATGGATGATATGATTCAAGTTTTTCATTATATACAATATTTTTTAACGCCTCAGCTGGACTCTTTCATTTCTATGCTTTTGCTATTTTTCATTTAAAGTTCGTTGAAACTATTGATTAGGAAGGCAAATTTTTATGGTGGAATTCCTGTCCATACTATGCTCTGTGCTACTTTTGGAATTTTCCCTAATTGTCTTTGGCACGTTCTGTAACCAGATTATTAAATGGGTCATGTTTGGGAACAGTTTCACTCTGGAATGATGCTATTCATTACGGTTACTTATTTTTGTTGTGTTCGTATATTACTATCATCGGGTTTGTTCGGGTGTTATAACTTATGCTGTCACAATTCCATGTCTACCCTTATGTGTGATAACTTCACATTGATTCAGAAAACTCTGTTATGTGCATAATGTACTAATTAAATTTAAATGTATATTTTCCAGCCAATATTTCAAAGGTATCCACGGCCAGAGAAGGAGTATCAATCATTCTCTCTGATCTATAATGATAGATCACTTGACTTGGTAAGAATTGCTTTGGTGCCTTTTGTTTTTTGTCGTCCTATATTTCTCTCATCAGGTTATATTTAGTTGATTTTAGGTTTTCACCTTAGCGTTTACTGTATTTTTTCACTACCATCCCTCTTCCAGATTTGCAAAGATAAAGATGAAGCTGAGGTATGGTTTAGTGGTTTAAAAGCCTTGATATCCCGCAGTCACCATAGGAAATGGAGAACAGAGTCAAGGAGTGATGGAATCCCATCCGAGGCAAATAGTCCTCGAACATGCACAAGGAGGAGTTCTCCGTTGCATTCTCCGTTTGGTAGTAATGATAGCTTACAGAAGGTGTGAACTATTTTCCCCTTATTTTCTAACTTTGATCTGCTTGAGTTTCTTCAAATCCAGCTTCTATGGGGTCTTCGCTTGGCTGTGTTTATTTTGAGCCTTTAATGCAATATCTTTTAGCCTAAAGAAAAAAAAAAAAGAAAAAAAGAAGAAAGGATTGTAATTATCAATCATCTTCCCTTTATTCCAGGATGGTTCAGATCACCTTCGCCTTCATAGTCCATATGAAAGTCCTCCAAAAAATGGTCTGGATAAGGCACTATCAGATGTGATACTATATGCTGTTCCCCCAAAGGGTTTCTTTCCCTCAGATTCTGCCAGTGCTTCTGTCCATTCTCTATCATCCGGAGGCTCAGATAGTGTGCATGGTCACGTGAAGGCGATGCCAGTGGACGCTTTTAGAGTGAGTTTGTCAAGTGCCGTTAGTTCATTAAGCCAAGGTTCTGGGCATGATGATGGTGATGCCTTGGGAGATGTGTTCATTTGGGGGGAGGGCATGGGAGATGGTGTTCTGGGTAGTGGACCACATAGAGTTGGAAGTTGTTTCAGTGGAAAAATAGATTCTTTGTTGCCTAAGCGCTTAGAATCTGCTGTAGTGCTTGATGTACAAAATGTCGCATGTGGTGGACGACATGCAGCTTTAGTAACAAAGCAAGGAGAGATTTTCTCGTGGGGGGAGGAATCTGGAGGAAGGCTTGGCCATGGTGTAGATTCTGACGTATTGCAACCAAAACTTATTGATGCGTTAAGTACTACAAACATTGAGTTTGTAGCTTGTGGTGAGTACCATACATGTGCAGTGACCCTTTCTGGGGAGCTGTACACGTGGGGTGATGGTACTTACAATTTTGGTCTTCTTGGACATGGAAATGAAGTGAGCCACTGGATGCCAAAAAGAGTTAATGGTCCCTTGGAAGGCATACATGTCTCGTATATCTCTTGTGGACCCTGGCACACTGCTGTTGTAACTTCTGCTGGACAATTATTTACATTTGGTGATGGAACATTTGGTGTTTTGGGCCATGGAGATAGGACAAGTGTCTCTATGCCCAGGGAAGTAGAATCTCTGAAGGGGCTCCGTACCGTACGGGCAGCTTGTGGTGTTTGGCATACTGCTGCAGTTGTAGAGGTCATGGTTGGGAACTCAAGTTCTAGCAACTGTTCTTCAGGAAAGCTGTTTACTTGGGGAGATGGTGATAAAGGCCGACTTGGACATGGTGAGAAGGAAGCAAGGCTTGTGCCAACCTGTGTTGCTGCTCTTGTTGAGCCAAACTTTTGTCAAGTTGCCTGTGGACATAGTCTAACGGTTGCACTTACAACCTCGGGCCATGTCTATACAATGGGCAGTCCAGTTTATGGTCAGTTGGGAAATCCTCAAGCTGATGGAAAACTTCCAACCCGTGTTGAAGGAAAACACTCCAAGAGGTTCGTGGAGGAAATAGCTTGTGGTGCCTATCATGTTGCAGTTTTGACGTCAAAAACTGAAGTTTACACGTGGGGAAAGGGAGCAAATGGTCGGTTAGGTCATGGGGACATAGACGATCGAAACTCGCCAACCTTAGTTGAAGCTTTGAAAGACAAACAAGTTAAAAGCATTGCTTGTGGTACAAATTTTACTGCAGCTATTTGCCTTCATAAGTGGGTATCAGAGATAGATCAATCTATGTGTTCTGGTTGCCGCCTACCATTTAATTTCAAAAGGAAACGCCACAACTGTTATAATTGTGGATTTGTTTTCTGTCATTCATGCAGCAGTAAGAAGTCCCTTAAGGCTTCTATGGCACCAAACCCCAACAAGCCCTACCGTGTTTGTGATAATTGTTTTAACAAACTGAGAAAAGCTATTGAAACTGACTCATCATCCCATTCCGTGAGCAGAAGAGGAAGTATCAATCAGGGGTCAAATGAGTTTATTGATAAAGAGGAAAAGTTGGATTCCAGATCTCGAGCACAACTTGCAAGGTTTTCTTCCATGGAATCCTTGAAGCAAGTGGAAACCCGCTCTTCGAAGAAAAACAAGAAACTTGAATTTAATAGCAGTAGAGTCTCTCCCGTTCCAAATGGAGGTTCACAGTGGGGAGCCATTAAATCTTTCAATCCCGGTTTTGGATCTTCCAAGAAGTTTTTTTCAGCTTCTGTTCCCGGATCTAGAATTGTTTCCCGAGCAACATCTCCAATTTCCAGGCGGCCCAGCCCACCACGTGCTACAACACCAACTCCAACTCTTGAAGGACTTACATCACCAAAAATTGGTGTAGATAATACCAAGAGGACAAATGATAGCCTAAGCCAGGAAGTTATCAAGTTAAGAGCACAGGTAGCACTCGCTGAACCTCTAAATGCTTAGTTCTACAGTTTTCACTTGCTTTTGAACGTTCTTTGCTTTACATTAAGTTGCATGCTCAAATTTCAAGAGCTAAAATGACTGTGTGGAACCATGGCTAAAATTAAGGAACTCTGAATTATACTCTAGTCCTTTTCATTTTGGGATTATATTTACTAGAATGTTTATTTGCCCTGATATATACTAACCCTTGGAAAACAGTCAGCAGTTTTTCACTTTAGTTTAAGATCACTCTTTAATATTCAATATGCTGATTTCCTTCTTAGTTGATTGGAGATGTCATTTGATAGTTAGGGATATTAAACAGACCTAAATTATTCTTTCACGCGCCAGCTTGTGCAGTCTGCTTTTTGTGTTTATCCTGTTCTTCTTTACGCCTGACTATTCTCTCTTAGGTTGAAAATCTTACACGTCAGGCACAACTTCAAGAAGTTGAGCTGGAAAGAACAACTAAACAACTGAAGGAAGCATTAGCAATTGCTGGGGAAGAGACTGCAAAGTGCAAGGCAGCAAAGGAAGTGATCAAATCACTTACTGCCCAAGTAAGATGGATATTCTTGTGTGTTATTTCCCTAATAAATGGGAGGTTTTTTCATTTTATGTGATCATGTTTTCCTGATCTTTTTCTGCATAGACACGTAAGTTTTCCATTCATTTGCATATGAGTGTATTGTCAACTAACATCTAAGGAGCTCCCCAAAAGCTTAGATAAAGAAGTTATGAAAGTACCTGTTTCTAAATGCCCTTTTTAAGTACAGAAAAACTGAGAGGCTCCACAATCCCCCAGCTCCTGAAGATTCAGCTGGTGGGTCCCCACATGTGGATCCCACTTGTTGTGTCTTCCGAAGATGGGGCTATGAAGGGCCCCCTAGCAGTGCTTTTTTCAGTAAGGATTCTCTTTTTTATCAGAGATGGGAAACATCGTGTTGTTTGTTACTTTCTTTTGGGGCTGAGTGTGAGGATGGGAGGGCAATCTCGTTTCTACTAGATATGCGACGAATGCTTAATTCTTTATTAACCTCAATAGAGATTTGAGTTCTAATGTTCCTTGATAATCCTTCACTTTTTTCTACATAGGATGATGTTTCTCAATAAGTTTCTATATTGACCTTTTGTCACCATCTTTTGCTTATGATGCATAATGTGTTTCTAACGTGATAGTTAAAAGACATGGCTGAAAGGCTTCCTGTTGGGGCTGCCCGGAATGTTAAATCACCTTCTCTTGCGTCCTTGGGTTCTGATCTTGTTGGCAGTGATGTTTCTAATCCTTCAGTTGATCGATTGAATAGTCAAATATTATCCCAAGAACCAGACTCAAATGGGTCACACAGCCAATTGCATTCTAATGGGTCCACTACCACCGCCAACCGCAGTTCAAGTCACAATAAACAAGGCCATTCAGATGTAACAACTAGAAATGGGACCCGAACAAAAGATATTGACTCTCGTAACGACACTGAATGGGTTGAGCAAGACGAACCGGGTGTTTATATTACACTTACGTCCCTACCAGGAGGCGCCAAGGACCTCAAGCGCGTTCGCTTCAGGTGTGTTACTCTTTCGTTGCTTTGATATAGTTCTCCATGTTGGAGACTGTTCCATTAACACTGATTAGGTTTGGCACTTTCACACTTCCTGGTGCTTGTTGCTGATGATTGATTATTTAACAATGAGTACCTGGATGGCTAGTAAAAGCTCACCGATAACAAAGTTAAGCTTGTAGGGTAGATCGTTTCAAAACATTAACAAGTGAATTTCACCTGCATGAATGTAATTCAATGTCCAAAATGTTAATGATTTCTAAGTTAGTTTGACAGCCACAAATCAATATAAAAGGGGATGACAGCTTGAAACCCTATCAATTTGTGTTCTGCATGCACATAATACACAGACAAGCCTACACGTCTGTGTGGGACTCAAACTGATATTTTCAGCTGTAGAAAGAATTTTAATGATTGATGCTTTTAATAATTGGTTAGCAGATTAAGCCTCTAAGCCTCTTTAAGGAACAAAATTCTTTGTATGCATTTGCTCCATCACATACCTTAGTTGCATAAAGTATCGAGTATAGTGTGTTTGACAAATATTTGACATTAAAATATAATTAGTTAAAAACGACATAAAGATATATTATCAAGAAGTAGTAACCACTTCAGTAAAATGTGTCTAGATCGGAAACCACTGTTTATAGCATGGGAAAAGGATGAGGTGACTAAGGTGACGTTTGTTTCAAGGGTTCTGCCTGGTTTAGAATCATGGTTCTTAGTTCTGCTACAATATTTTTTTCTCACAAAAAATTTGAATTTCAAAAATCAGAATCATGAATCATGGTTTTGAACCCATGAACCAAACGTACCTAAGATTTTTAGAGGAAAAGATTGAACCCTTGAACCAAACGTACCTAAGATTTTTAGAGGAAAAGAAATCTCAACATTTTCACTCGTTTACCTTTTACTTGTAAACTTGTTTTTCTTTATTGGTATTGCGTACACGAGCCCTAGGAACAGATCCTACAAAGCAACGTTGCAATTTTTTCAATCATTTCACCACTGGTTGATGCCAGTCCCTAATTTTGAGATTCCTTATCCACATCTACCTTTTCATCTTGTATTTTGATACAGCTTCAGAGATTGTAATCATCATTGGACTATTTTGTTTTTGTTCTTATTATTATTATTATTATTGGCCGCGAGCTGCAGTCTCTAAATGTAATATTGAACTCTTTTCAATTTTTTAAATGCAGTCGAAAACGATTCAGCGAAAAGCAAGCAGAGCAGTGGTGGGCGGAGAATCGAGCAAGAGTTTATGAGCAGTACAATGTTCGTATGATAGACAAGTCTAGTGTGGGTATTGGAAGTGAGGATTTGGCTCACTGATCTGTTGAGACAATTATATGTAAATGAATGGTATTTTCTAGATTCCGAGTAACAGTGAAGTCATACCAGTTAATTAGAGTTGGCTTCCATCCTTCAAAAGGGCTGAGGGAAGCAAAGGGTTGGATATAGGAAGGAGAAATAGAGGGGTTTGATTGTGTTTTCTCTCTTTTTATCCAATTTGTCTTTGATTTTTTCCCCTTACTGATATTGTATTCCATTTTTTTTCCCTATTTGCCTTGTGTGGGGGATTTGAGGGTCAGAAATGTAAATTCCTAGTAGGTTGCTGGCTCTTTTGAAAGCAGCTGCTATGTAAATCCCATAAAGTGAATGCATCTGCATTTTTTCTTTTCCTCGGTTTTATGCATTTGTACAATCAACTACCTTATATACCTTTTAGGCCACGCATTCTTTTTCTTTTGTTTTTTGTTTTTTTGTTTTGTTTTGTTTTGTATTTTGTTCTTTTGTTTTCGTTGTCATCTTTGTTTTGTTTCTGTTTTTGTTATTTTTCTCTTTGAATTGCCTGTGAAACGAGACCTCAAAGTGGTGCCTGGTTGAGTTTCTGATCGAAGCTACTCATTTACAGTGTAATAATGGCAGAGATTGATATGCTGTGATAATAGTTCATGAATTTATTCCATTGATAATGGAATGACGAGTGATTTTTTTTTTTTTTTTTTTTTTTTTTTTTTTTTTTTTTTTTTTTTTTTTTTTGCCTTCTTTTATTTTCCCTCCTTTTTCTGGGTGGATAAAGAATGAATGGTTTGACTTCAATAACAGCAGTGTAGCCTTGCGGGGTGATAATGTATAGCTAAGAAAAGCTTATGGGGAAAGGGGCGTTGGTTTTGGAAAGAACTTCTGCAGGTATTCAGGGATGCTTTGTTCCTTACATTGGAAACTGTAATGCTTACTTCTTTCCTTCTTTCTTTCTTTTTTCTACTTTTTTTTAGGGATATTTACATATTTATACATTCTGTTTTATGTTTATTCAAAAAGTATACTATTAATTTTTAATCTCATTAAATGTATATTTTTAAATTGCAATAAATATATAAATCCATACTTTTTGTGTGAACACCTGATTTTGATCAGAGAAAACCTTTTTAATTCTTAAAATCTATTTGATACGTGATTTGAAGGTATAACTAAACACCCACTGATGTTTAGCTTATACATGGAACTAAACAAGAAAATAGTTTGCAAAAAATAAAAAAAGGAAACAATTATTGACCAACAAATAAATAATGAAACAGATAATGCACTAATTTTCAGTCATGTGTAAATATAAAACACATGTTTAACTTTGCAATAGAAAATATATACGTACTTGGCATAGCATTTAGAAGTAAGGTGTAAATATAAACACATGTTCAACTTTGCAATAGAAAATATATACGTACTTGGCATAGCATTTAGAAGTAAAACAAAAAGGTGAGGCATATACAAACATAATAACAGTTCAAACTCCTCATTTACAACATAGTAAAAGCACGAGGCATATAAACACGTGATGAACAGTTTAAATCCTCATGTACATAATCCAAAAAAGCAAATTTACTGCAATAGCAGTCAAAAGGCAGCAAAATCACTGCCTCCCAAGTTCACCTCTTGAGTTTGTTGACTTGTGTTATATTCTCCACAACGTGTTGGCCACCAGTGTTCGAAGTCGCCGCTCCATCTCTGCTAGTACCTGCATCCACGTGAAGTTGGGCTTGCACAACAAGTGTATTTGGAAGTTCCTTCACCATCTCGTGCCACACGGATACAGTCAAGGCAACACAAAAACGCAGCGTTTTGAGTTTTTTTTTTTTTTTTTTTTTTTTTTTTTTTTTTTTTTTTTTTTCAGCCAATACACAAAACTATATCTGTTTGGCAACAAGTATATATGTCTCATTGTACAATCCCCATTAAGGTTAATTTCGTAAAGTCACATGTCAAAACCAGGTGTTTATCCGCAAAACGTATAGATTTATATATTAATTATAAATTGAAGGTATACATTTGATGAGATTAAAAACCGATAGTATACTTTTTGAATAAACATAAATTACAGGGTATAAATATGTAAATATCCCTTTTTTTGTGACATCTTAATAGAAACTAGAGAAAAAAAAATGCACAAAAAATTTTAAACAAAAGCAAGTAAAATAACACTTAGGTGACTGGTAAGAGGAGAAGAAAAATGAACTCGTTCATAAAAAAAGGAAAAAGAGGGAGAATAGCACTTTGGTACAATCTTAGGTTTCAAGGACTAATTCAATTAATTTTGGTAATTAGAAATTCAAACTTGGTTTTCATAAACATAAAATAAAATAGACTTTGTTACGTTCTACCATTTGTTATATATATATATATATATATATAATTATCGCACTTAAAAATTTGAATCTTAAATTCATGAAACTTTATGTATATGAATACCCGAGAGTTGTATTTTACTTGTTTATGAGTTCTGATTTTTATGTCTGCAATTTTTAGTTTGTTAATCATTGCCGCTTCTCTCGGTGTTCTGAGTTAGGAGCTTGTCCGCTAGAGGAGCCAAAAATATCACCATCTTTGCGCTTCAGCCATGCAAGTTCAACGCCCTTATAAAGGTAAGGTTGCGTCTATTCACACATTTTATTTTATTTTTTTACACTCATTTTTAAATTATTTCTCATTTTATTTGTTACACTTTTTTTAAAATTTTTTAAAAATTCTTACAACTAAATTTACCTTTATTTGTATTTTTCACACGTAAATTCTTAAACCACCCAATTCTACATGTTATACATATTTTCAAATTTCAAAAAACTCCCTACAATTAGATCGTATGATTTTTCCTTGATAAATTCAATTAAATAGTTTTCGGTTTTTTAATGTTTGTTTTCTCCCAAATTTTTCTTTTTATAAATATATAAACATAAGGTTTATATACTAACCAGATTTTTCAGTTTCCCCCACCCAATTCCATAAACGTAATTATGGGACGATTTGTATACACCGGGGGTTATATGGAGATATAGGCAATATGTCAAGATTTTTAAACTTGGATTGACTTTTGCAATAGATACTAAAATTATTACAAAATATTCCACAACGGTATTATTTAAGTTTTCTATAACAAGCAAAATTATATTTGTATTTTTGTATATTTTATTCAGTATCATTAGATATTGTGAGAATTTTATGATTTTTCATAACGCGTATTTAAGATGATGTATGTCTCTTAAATAAATTTTTTTTTAAAGGATGGAGTGCATTATTATTATTTTTTTGTAAAATAATTTGTTATGAAGAGTGTGGGAAGAGTAAATTAACGCTTCATTTATTTCACCGATTTGAGTTTTGTTACAGTAAAAAGCTCTTAGAAATAGTTACTTTTGTATTACAGTAAAAAACTCTCAGAAATAGTCACATCTTAACTCAAATTAAAAACTCGAATCATTGAACTAAACAGACATTTGACTCGATAATTTTTTTTTTTTTAGATGGTGTATGCAATGAGTATTTTTTTTTTTTTTAAATAGGTTGTCTTGAAAAGTAATTTTATTAATAAGTATTTAAATTTATGAAAAAGAAAGGTATAGGGGGAGGGGTGTCGCCGCGTCGGACACCCCCCCCTACAGGTAAAAGCTTGAGCAATAGGAGGGAAATGGGTTTTGTTAGAACATACATTCCTCATAAAAGACCCACTAAGAAGTTATGCACATTCCAAATCTGATTTCTCTTCTGCGAAAATGCACTATTTCCAAGTCAACACTGCAAGGCAAGCGCGTCCACCAGAAGATTCTAACTCTTGGCTTATCAAATGACACTACTTTGTGCAAGTACCTCATCAACTTCTACTTCTCCTGCAATTTGCATGATTATGCAAGCCTTGTTTTCCAAACCACCAAGGACCCTTTTGATATATCCTTGTGGAATGGCCTTTTGGCAGCTTATACCAAGAACTCCATGTTCATTGAAGCACTTGATCTCTTTGGAAGATTGTTGCATTACCCTTGTTTGAATCCTGATAGTTACACATATCCGAGTGTTCTTAAGGCCTGCGGTGAAATGGGGACAATTAGAAGTGGAGAAGTTGTACACACTCATTTAGTAAAGACTGGGTTTTTGTCGGATGTTTTCATTTCAAGCTCTTTGGTGACCATGTATGCCAAGTGCAATGCGTCGAAGAGTGCTAACCAACTGTTTGATGAAATTCCTGAACGAGATGTTGCGTGTTGGAATGCTGTGATTTCTTGTTATTATCAACATGGGAAACCCGAGAAGGTGATGGAATTGTTTGAGAAAATGAAGATTCTTGGTTTTGAGCCGAGTTCAGTGACGCTAGTGGTTGCAATCTCATCGTGCGCAAGGCTTTTGGATTTGGAAAGAGGAAAGGAGATTCACAAGGAAGCAATAGAAGCTGGACTCTTGTCGGATGGGTTCGTCCGTTCTTCCCTAGTGGACATGTATGGAAAATGTGGATGCTTAGAGATGGCTAAAGAGGTTTTCGAGAAAATCCTGAGAAAGAACACGGTTGCTTGGAATTCCATTATTGCAGGTTATAGTTTAAAGGGTGACAGCAAATCTTGCATCAAACTTCTAGAAAGGATGAGCGGTGAAGGAACTAGACCAACTTTAACGACTTTCGGTAGCATACTGTTGGCTTGTAGAAGGTCACTGCAACTTCGACAGGGAAAATTCATACATGCATATATAGTAAGAAATAATGTACAGGCTGATATCTACATTAACAATTTGCTTATTGATCTGTACTTCAAATGTGGAATTGTCTCATCTGCCAAAAACGTATTCGAAAAGATTCCCAAGGCAGATATAGTTTCTTGGAATTTAATGATTTCTGGATATGTTACGGTGGGAAAATATTTTGAAGCTCTTGGTATGTATGACACCATGAAGGAAGTTGGTTTGAGACCAGATTCCATTACATTCACTTCTTTGTTATCTGCTTGTTCACAGTTAGCAGCCTTAGAAAAGGGTAAGGAAATCCATAGAAGTATCATGCAGGATAAGATTGAAAATGATGAAGTACTCATGGGGGCTCTCCTTGACATGTATGCTAAATGTGGTGCTGTGGATGAAGCTATTGAGGTTTTCCATAGATTGCCGACGAGAGATCTTGTCTCGTGGACCTCCATGATCATCGCCTTCGGGTCTCATGGTCGAGCGTTAGAAGCGCAAAAGCTCTTTTGTGAAATGCAACAGTCTGGTGAGAAACCGGATGGAGTTGCTTTCCTTTCTGTCTTATCTGCTTGTAGTCATGCTGGACTTATTGATGAAGGTTGTAACTATTTTAATCAAATGATCACCAATAATGGAATTAAACCAAGTGTAGAGCATTACTCATGTTTGGTTGATCTTCTTGGGCGCGCTAGAAGATTGCGAGAAGCGTATCAGATTCTCCGAGAAAATACAGAAATTGGGGAGGAAGTTGAGTTGTTGAACACATTACTTTCGGCGTGCCGGTTGCACAAGGATTTTGATTTGGGTGTAGAAGTTGCCAATTTTCTTGTTCACAAGAATCCTGAGGATCCATCAACTTATATCAGCTTATCAAATATTTATGCTTCTGATAGAAAATGGCATGAGTTGAGGAAGGTGAGATTAAAGATGAAAGAGCTGGGATTGAGAAAAAACCCAGGATGTAGCTGGATTGAGATTAACAAACAGATCCACAACTTTTTTCTTGAAGACAAGTCTCACCCACAAGCAGAAATTATCTATGAATGTTTGAAAATGCTTTCAAGTAACATGGATAAAGTTGATTTCTATTCAAATTGAAGGATTTTTTTTTTTAGGGATATTTATTATATATATTTTTTGAAATTACCTGTTGATAGCTTTTCTTTGGCATCATTAACACAAACTATTGACATATTTACTTCATCTGCTTTTGAAATTGAAAAAAAATTACATTCCATTCTTGACATTTTAGGAATGACTTTGGCGGCTGAAATTTGATATGTATGATCAAATGAAATTGAATGTAAAATACATGACCCAATCAAAGGTTGTTCAATTCTTGATGGTTTCATCTGAAAAAAAAAAAAAAAAAAAAAAAAAAAAACCAGGGGAGAATTTAACTGTTTAAAAAAAAAAAAAAAAAAGATGTTTGAAAATTCAGGACAAATTCATTTTTTTTTTTTTTTTGGAAAGGATAATTTCATTTATACTAACCTGAATGACCCTGTATTATTATACACAGTAAAACCTAATAACGCTCAATGGGTAAAGTGTATGCCAAAGGCCCGAAAACAAGACTCAAGACTCGGCAACAAGCTCACATAAGGGTCTTTTTAATCAAAATTCTGCATCATTAGAAACTTTTTATGATTGAGAGCCACAACAATGTAGTATAAAAGCCACTACATAAACTCCAGACTAGTGAAAAAAGTAAAGACTCAGAAGGTGATGAGACTACCTCCATTATTACGACAAAATCTAATAAAACAACGAACAAACACTAAATTTAAACGGTGGAAATATCACCATTTTTATTTGATAAACCCAAAACTTAAAACAAACGGATAAAATCTAAATGACAATGACAAAAACTTCAGTTTCGAGCCAATTACTGCTATAAATAGGCGAGGAAGCCGTAAAAATACTAGCGAAGCAATCTATTCAATATCAAATCTTTTAATTGAATTAATTAATAAATTTTTAATTGCTATATAAAAAAACTCTCTCTCGTCATGCATACGATAATATGTCTAATATTTTTTGAAAAAATTATTGAACTTACTTTTAGAGTACACGAGTCTAGATTTTTACCTCTTATTCTTAATTAATACCCTTTCGTTAGGATGACATATTCCTCACGGGGACTGGCGTCTCCCCCCTCCCAAACGAGACATGGATGGAAGACAATTATCAGGGATGGGGATGGAAAGACAAAATCTAGTCTGTGAGTCATGATGGGGACGGGGACGGGGGAAATACTCTCCACCTCCGTCTCAAATGTACTTATATATATTTATTTATGTAAATATATATTTAATTTTTTAAAATTACTTTTTTACTAAAAAAAAGTAAAAAAGTAACTATTTTTGTTGGCTTTACTATTAAAATTTAGTTTGTATATGTTTAGAATTTAATTTGTATTATGGAATCTTTAACTTTGGTATAAATTTATAATGAATTTTTATCCTATTTTTATTTTAAATTACAATAGTTTTGAAATGCATAGTTCTATTTAATAAAAAATAAGATGAGTATAATGATAGTTCTCCGAATAGGAAATTTTTGACCAGATACTCTCTCTCCTTAAGCGGAAATATAGTGAGGGTAAGAATACTTTAAAGAGGCGGGGATGGAGGCCTTTGTAAAAATAACATAATAGAAAAGTTTTATTCATAAAATGACACCACAATCCAGAACCATGGCGTTCATAATCACCCTCTCTCCTTCTCCTTCTTCTCCATCTTCTTCAACTGCTCTAATCTCGGTTTCCTTTGTTTGGAGTGCTTTGCTTTTGGATTGGAAGCTACCAAAAAGGTTGAAGAAAATAGAGAGAGA